CTTATCAGGGACGCCGAGGAGGAGATACCAACCGAGTGTGCTCGAAAGAGGTTCTCTTGTCTTTGAGGCCGAGTATTTCATGCAAAGGTGTATAGCCAGCGCGCGGTCCCAATGTCTGTCTCGTTGGCTTTTCCTCGCTGCCGCCCATCTCGGGAGAATGACAGGAAGCACTGGTTCAGCTGAACAGTCATTTCTTGACCGTCGCGAGCCATCACCGCATATACTCCTGCGCACCGGCCTTTTACCAACTGCCGAGCTCCTCGGCCGACTGCTCAATAGGCCGACTCGCGGTGGTGACGACCGGAGGCGGTCTAACGTGCTGGAAACGCGGTCGAACTTTGCACCACCAGCATGCCCACAATCTTCTTTAACGTCTCAATTGCACACGAAGCAAGTAATTTGAGTCTGGTTTACCACCTTATACTGTCCTCAACAATGTAATATTTGGGTCCCTGCTGCTAGGTGATTGCTGGCTCAATAACATGCGTGGGAAGAACTCAAAAAGACTTCGATTATGCGATGTATCTGCCAAAAAACTTACGAACGAGGCTTTCGAGATTCGAGTAGTCGAACGTTTCGTGAAGCACTCTGCAAGTCGACGGCGTGAGGTTAGCCATCTTCAGCAGGTCCTTCATATACGATTCCAGGGCGCCACTGCCTTCCAAGTCATGGCTCGGGGGAATGAGGTTGTGGCAAATCTGAAAGGGCAGCAAAAAGAATCGGTGGTTTCAACGTCGGGTTTAAACATACTAGAACGGCTGACAGGGTAGTTTAGCACACCTTATAGTAACGCAATATGTGCTCTCTCAGATGACGTCTAAGGGCTGGAGTTCGTGCGAAAAGCGTCGCTCTCGAGTGCGACGAAAAACATTTACACTATTGGCGACGAGATGTTTTGGTGGTGTAATATTATTGATCCTACCCTGTTGTCACAACCTGGATTACTAGAAACGAGTGATAAGTTCGATGGTTCTTAAAAAGAGCTTAGGAAGCCTAGTCATCCCCTTTTTAAATCACCGCCGTCAGAATAAACCCTTTTCAAAAGTTCATTAAGCAACATTGGCGCTCACCGTTGCTTGCTAGATGACCGCCAACCAACGTTGCTAAAACACTCAGTTGGGAAACTCGCCGTCGAAACCTGGGCTGCTGGCGTCCACCGAGACCGAGCTAAATACGACACAGCGCCACTCTTTATTATTTGTCTGTACTGTGGTCACTTTGAGCTTTTAGAAAGCATGTTTTTGTGTAAAAACAAACGGAAAAGACTCTTTTTGTATGCAATTTTTTGGAGTTTAGTACAAAATGAAGGGCGCGTAATGTTTTTATAATCTTTAGTTTGCAAGGTTTTGCGGAACAATTAATATTGCTTTTATACAACCATGCCTCAGCGGTGCTTTCAGGTAGCGCGTCCGGACCTCGGTGCGTTTTAACTTCGTTAGTAATTCGCGGCGCGTCCTCTGGGGAGACGGGGGTGGCACCCCTGTAACCTCTGTATCTGTTTCGGCGCCAAAATGGTCGATTAAAGCCAAAATAGAAGTAACGTGCAGTAACGTGAATATAGGAATATAGGAAGAAGCACGGCTACAAAGACGACGTTTACATTTACACAGACAGGTCAATATCTAACAAGGGTCAACATCTATTTACTCAATCTCGATGTTAGCACATTTAAATGTTTTCGATTGTCACATCATACATGCTCGACGTCAGCAGAGTTACATGCAATACTTTCAGCATCATCATTCATTGAAACATTCGTTACACCATCAAACTGGGTTATTCTAACGGACTCAAAATCATCCCTAGAGTTATTACAGGGCATGCACCTTCGTACTTCCCAGGCGACCATTCTATATTGGGTGCAACTCACGTTAGCACAAGCTCGACTCCACGGACATAACGTCAGACTACAATGGATACCGAGCCACTGCCAAATCGCCGGAAATGAAGAGGCTGATCTCCTGGCAGCTTAAGCTCACGATGGTGACGCAATGGAAGCGACATCCTTTACCTCTGGAGATGCAAAATTCATCCTTCGTCACTTACGCCATCTACGTTGTCGGCAGTGCTGGCTAAAGGACACTTCAGCAGAGACTCTCCTACCATATATCGACCCGGATTTTGAGCTTCCGCCGTACACCGGGATGAAAGGGATATACGAGGCATTAATCCATCGACTCAGACTTGAAGTGGCCTTTACCAACAGCTTTTTATTTCGAATTAAATGCCGAGATTCGCCAAGATGTGACTATGGAGAACCATATCAAGATGTAAAACATATCCTTGACTGTGAACGCTTTCGACATGAAAAGCGCCGGATGGAGATTCGCCCTCAAATATTAGATGATAGACCCCTGTCTCTGACCAAGTTGTTGGGGCCCTGGCCGACGCGTAAAAAACAAGACAGAGCAATGAATATCATTCATGACTTTCTAAAGGACACTAGAATCTTGCATGATTAAGTGCGAACGTGCGTCAATTTCAACTGTAATGACTATGTATGTAATTTAGCAAATCGATGCACGACTCCCAAACAGTCGTCTTATTCGCAATTGTAATTAAATTTGCTTGTAAGCTTTTTTGTTTTTCTACGGTTATACTTTATGTATTTTCTCTTTCTGCATTTCCTTCTATGTTCTTCCTTTCATTCATATATATTTTCTCTCTCTTTCTGGTTATAGAGTAGCCTGTGTCATTTAAAGAATACCAACATCGCCATACTAAAGAACTTATCTCTCTCTCTCTCACCGGACCTCACATACTTGAAAATATGCACCAATGCAACACTCGCGCAGCGAATCACACGGCGCACTGACGAAGACGAAGATTGGATCAATTCCCCGATGCGTTGGACTGCGCTTCGCCAATACATTATAAAATCTAGGAAGACAGAAATGGGACCAACGCAGCGCCCTCCACAGATACAGCGTCAAGACGACCTTGGACCACCGTACAATGCCTACTGAAACTAATAGCTCTTCAGTGGCCCTACGCAACCATCGAACTAAAAAATAAGATATACGTTTAGGAACAGGCTCAATGCCTCGCGTAAGAGTTATCACGACCGATAAACCCTCCTCGAAGTAACCCAAGCAGCACACATGGTCCTCCGGACATCCTCACGATGTCTTGACGTTCCAGGGATGTCCTATGGATGTGTAAAGGACATCTGTGCTGCTAGGGAAGCCACCCAGCAAAAAGGGCCCCGATTCTTTTCTACCTCAAGATTCACATAGCCGGCGATTTCTCCTTCTCTGAGCTTAAATGGGCCCTCTCCAGCAGCCCCCGACGTGGAGCTCCCGGTCCTGATGGCATCACAAACCAGGCGCTCAGAAGCCAGGACGAGTCATTCCATCTTGAACTTCTACAGCTCATAAACAGTATTTCAAAATCGGTAACCGGTCCTAGCACCTGGTAACATTCCATAATAGTGCCTATCAAGAAGCCCCAAAAGCATTCAGCTGAAGTATTATCGTAACGACCAATTTCTTTGACTTCTTGCCAATGAAAGCTGGTTGAGAGCCTGATTCTCCGACGCTTAAGTTGGCACGTAGAACAACCGCAAGCACTCCCTCCCCAGCTATCTGGATTCCGATGGAGCCAATCGACTGCAGATGCCGTTGAAGCCTGGCATCTTTCTGAAACCAATCTAAAGCTCAAGGGAGAGTGCTACACACCCTTTTTCTCGACATCCACCTAGCATTTGATGCTTTGTCAAATCACAAAATCATTGAACGACTACAGGACGTTGGAATTAGAGGACGAGCCTTAAAATTCATTACATCTTTCCTGAATTGCAGGACATTTCCTTTTAAACTAGCAGGCTACTTGAGCACTGTGCGAAACACACCCCAAGGAAGTGTTCTAAGGCCATTACTGTTCAACATCGTAATGGCAGCTCTCCCGGCTGCACTCCCCACAAGAGGCCCTCACCCCGTACAATGGGTCATTTACGCAGAGGACGTGGCGCTATGGTGCTCTGGACCCACTCGGCTTTCAACCACCGTCCGAGCAGCACTGCAGAAGGCTTTAAACACTAGAGTATATTTTCTCCATCATGCCGGCCTGACACGCTCTGCATCAGTAACACAAGCCCTCCCTTATCGTCCCTGTGGTTGAATGAAGAGAGAATACTCCTCTCTATACGACGTGAACCTCAAGTTCGCTACTCAGGCATTGTCACCAATGACCACGTCGCTCGGTGTCCGGCAGTACAAAAGATTTTGAATGACTCTCACAAACTCCTCGGCGCTCTCCATAAAATAGCTGGACGAAACTGGGGTGCCAGACAGATGTCAATGATCACACTCTACCGAGTACTGGTCATATTAAACCTTCATGAAACACAATGAAAAGGTTTGGAAGTCTTTCATATGAAAGCCCTCCGTCTCTGCCTGAGGCTTCCATAATATGCTCCAAACGTTCCAACCCTAACCGAAGCGGGAGGTCCACCCCTGCAGCACCATGCGCAAGAGAATTTAAAATATATCCATCGTCTATTAGAAACTCCGTCTTCGAGCTTGCTACTTGAAAACCGTCTGGAATGGCACCATTCTCAGATTGGAAAGACCGCAAATACAGTCTGCCAAACAATCGGCTACCCACCAGATGTACCGGCCACGCTTCTCCCCTATCAAGAGGAATGTCAGCTTCAGGTCTCACCTGATCTTCCGAAACGCAAAATAAGTTGCCGAAGTAGTAGCGCAAACCATCGCACTCGAAACGATTGAGAATACTTACGCAAACATAACACGTATCTATACTGACGGAAGCATTAAAGACAACTCATGCCGAGCAGCCTATATAACGCCGGACATTGAACTCCACAGATAAGGACGCATTGACATCTGCCTCGAATATACCACTGCAGAGCTCACTGCCATTTGGTAGGTCATCTTGCACACATTGAAATACGAGAATTCGCCAAAAATCGCCATCTTCACAGACTTTCGTGGTGCCTTACAACAAATCCATTTGTAAAAAACGCCTGCCCGCTATCCAAGTCAACTGCGCAGCTGACAAGACGCGCCTCACACGACTGAACGACTATACACTTCCAGTAGATTCTACCGCATGCGAGCACACCTGGAAATGAGACAGCAGATTCGCTGGCAAAGGAAGCACACTTGGATCCCCATTCACCATTTTTCTTCATCCATACAACGCAGCAAAATCTTTAATCTCAACAGCAAAAGAAACATAAACCCATATTTAAGCACAACACATCACCAATCCCTCGTCTAGCTCCACGAATAAATTCTCCAGAAAACAACAAGCTCTGCTACACCGGTACGAGTCAACTGCTCGTCTACTAACAATCGACACCAGAAAACTTCGATCACCAAAGTGCAATTCATGCGAATCGACCGAAGATAGACAACTCATCATCTGGGACTGCCAAGCGCTAGATACAAAACGAGCTACGTTAACTACCCCATCGAGGTCGCTTCACGTGTCCGCAGGAGATTCCAACGCACTACGTTTCCCGACGGGCTCCCGGGAGAAAAAGACTAACATACTTAAGGCCCTAATCGAACTCAATGTAGTCACTTTAAACAAAATGCAATGAGCATAGAAATCGGGTAGGTCCGCTTTCCGAGGTGCCTGTGAATTGTTCTGCAGAAATTGCAGCCAGCCATTGGTCCCGATTCCGTTGATTTTTCGGAAACTTGCGCACACTCCGCCGCACAATGACACTTTCGGATACAGAACCTAAGGCAGCTCTTTACGCAACATCTTGAAGACATTCTTTTTGGAGCTGATCACGGGAATTCACCACGGGTACTCATTAATCATTTGCAACCCTTCAATGTATGAAACAACTTATCTTGAAGTGCAGAATAGCGAGCGGAACAAACATAACTGCAAAGCAATCGCGCGGCAAACGGTTCCCGCAACGCATGTCACCTACTAAGCGCAAAAAAAAAAAAAAAAAAAAAAAAATCGGAGGTGGAAAAAAGAGCACGGTCGGGTGTAGCCACGTGACTTCCGACACACACTCCTCCTCTATATTTCTCCGACCACCGTGCGCAAGTTTCGAGTTTTCGTTTCGCACAGTTCTGTTTCTTGATTTTATCAAACTGTGACTGTGTAGCAAAATATTAATTGGGTAGTCTTCTGACACCACATTAAATCTCCTGGCAAAAAATGAAAAAAAAAAAATTGTTGGGGGTGTCAGTGTTTCTTTGACACGACCAAACAATGGTCGGTTTTGCCTTTTTTGTCTTAAATCAAGACTACTACTGTGGAAAAAACCGCTAACCTAAAACAGTAAACTTATACCCGTCTGTAAAGAGATGCTTTTTACTTCCAGATTTCTGAAAAAAGAGAAAAGTGCCGATGTCGTGTGCTTCGTAACCGTGTTGTGCAGTATATGTGCAGAGAGCGCAGAAATATTTAGAAGGAAGAGACATCCGGATAGAACAAAGCGGTGACTCGCAGCCATAGGTTTTAATCCAGTTGCGAGCAAGCGCTCTGTTCCATCCGGTGTGTATCTTCCATTTATATCTTTTTGCGCTCTCTGTATGTCAACTACCAACTAGCCCAACTTTCTACCTTTTTACAGTATATATGTGTCTGTATTATGTTTTTAAATGGAGATGGAAATTTACCCATGTTTTGTTCAATCGCATCCCCCCCCCCCCCCCCCCCCCCCTTCCCCGCCCCGATCTGGAAAATGGAAACACTATAGATGCCTTTGGTGGAGATGCCCTGCTGTTGGCCAGGCCGGGCCTTGTGCACTCCGGCCTCGGTGGAGTTTCGGCCGGGCCAAGTCGGAACACTTTCGAGGAAATCTCGCTCGGGTCGGGATTTAGACCGGTTGGGGAGATACGACCTATTGGCCCCGCCCCATCACTGACTCACATGTATAATATTACATCCCCATCATTACTTCCTAAACCCTACACCAACCCCTCTTCACCTCCCTATCCATACAAAACGGCGAATATGCCCCCTCAATGGGTGACTAACCATGCGTCTTGCTTCTCCTCCCCCTTTCTGCATCATATGTATTTTATTTTACAATAAAGACAATATATACACACGAGCTCGACAGGCTTGCAAAGACGGAGCGACCAGAAATCGCCTGGGCTGCAAGCAGCAGGCCATGTTTGGTGAACAGAAAAAAGGTCTTAAGCAAGCCGGCATGTTAAAACGTCAAGCCCTGGGCCGGCTAGGTATGGAACAGCGTCTCAGCTAAGACTGGGTGAAAGAAAGCACTGCAAAGTCTCGGGTGCGCGAGCGTCTTGAGATGCCGAGGTCCCGCTCAGCTTGTGCGCTGGCTTTAGCCACTCCTTTCTTTCACCCAGACTCAGCTGTGACGCTGTTTCTAGCAAGTCGGCCCTAAGTCGGACCTAGAATGATTAGTGGGGCGACATAAAGCTAGCTTCATTTGTCGAATCCGAGAATGAATCAAAACGGCGGACGCCGGCCTTCCCATTTCTAATTCGTTCGGCTAGTGCAGTGGAGCCAAAGGTAGCTGTAGCTTTAGGCCTACCCACCAATCATTCTAACCAGAGGCCCGGACTCTCAAAGCGAACTTACGACGAAAAAAGTGCGTACGACAAATGTGAGAGAAAATCTTTATTCTCGAAACGAAATTGTCGTAAGTTTTGCGCAGGTTACGACAGAATTCTACGACAGCTCTGAAGTTGTCTTACGCACTTTTTACGATGAAATCATCATGGCCGGCAGCGTCGCTCAGTTACTTGGTCGCGACGACCAACGGACATTTATTTTTCTACGTGTTTTTCTCGCGCGTCCCGACTTCAAGCAGCAAGAAAAAAGGAAAAATTACTTGAAAGCGACCACGACGAACATGAACGATGGATTCACAATCACCCGGGAAAAGCAACAAAGGCAACAATCCCACCGACCAAGCGAGCTCGGCAGAATATAGGCCTAGCAGGCACTCCGGCCTGTTCCGGCGCAGCATTGCTCCGACGGTCCTTGGCCAAGACCGTCTGCCCACGACCGGCTGGCTTGCTGAATGGAATATGCCCTCGCGACCCTTGTGGACCCTTCCCGTATGAATAGTTTGATCGCTAAACTAAATTTCAGAGGTCAATTTTTTTCCCCTGTCATCTCGACCTCCTTCTTTTCCGAGGCAGCGGTGACGAACGCTGTCTTTGAAAAGGGACTCTCATTGATTCTATATCCTCGTTTTGTGCGATATAGAGCTCAAACAAACGCCGTATGAATTACCTTCCCAACACGGTATGTATGTACACTTTGTATATGCCATTTTTATTGACACGACGCTACGTCACTGTCGAGCTATAACAGTTCGTGGGAGCTACACGATGACGGTACAACCTTTCCTTGCCGAGTGTCACGTCAGTATCGAGTTACAGTCGTAAAAGATCGGTCCCGAAGCGCTTACCAAGGCGCGGTCTAACAGAGCGAATCCAGCACTTCAATCAAACGCGCGCGTCCGCTCCGAGTGTAAACAGGTATTTGCATGGCTCTTGCTAACACTTTGGTATAGTTCAAAACGTATATTTTTTAACGTCGGCTCGCTCCTGCATTTCCGAAGCCGCGAGAAACGCCGTGGCGGTTTGTTTCTATCTACGTCACTTTGGAAACGACTGGCACGGGGCTTTTACCAACGATGACAATCCTGTTGATTTCGTAGCGATCGAGTTGGTAGCAGTCAACGAAGCGTATAAATCGTGCCAGCGTCGATACATCACTGCACGGACACGAACCCTAGACAAGCGGTGGTGGAAAAGCCGCCTGTGTTTATGAGAAACAACTTGAACACAACATTTACACACAGACAGGACATGACATACACAGAGCTGACTATGAACGAGTAGTTAGCCTGTGTTTGTTATTAAAAATCCACGTGCTCCGAACTATGCCGAGCTCTCCGATTGGTTGTTCGTGCTACCGAAGACGCCGTCGCGAAGTCGTCGTTTCTCCCGTAAGAGGTCCATAACTTTCTTCCTCTCACGCAAGAACGCGTTTGTGAATACCGTTCTAGCCTCATCTTACGATGATCATAACTTTACGAACTTCGTAGCTAAGTTGTCGAAGGTAAGTGGTTTTTTTATGAATCTGGACAGAGCTCTGCGTCCTGACGTCCCCGCGCGCTCTTGTCTCCTCCTCTCCCTCACTTTCTCGGCGCATGCGGAACGCAAGTTCGTCTGCTTCTTGTGATGATGTCAGAACGCCGAGCTCTCATTCACTGATTAAACAGAAAGTGGGTAGAGCTCAAGGCATCTATCATTGAGGTCTACCCACTATCCTTTCAATCAACGGCAATCAGAGCTCGTCGTCGTGCTGACGTCACGGGAACTCCTGCGCAAGAAGCAGACGTCTTGCTCTACGCATAAGCTTCGCGCAAACGCTCTTCGCCACGCTCCGCATTCGCCTACAATCAGGCGTATATGTCTGCACGGAACTTTAGTTTCATGCGTGTCAAAACAAGCTTGGGGCGAAGAAAACTGTCGCCATTGCTCACGTGCGCGTATTTCTCCCAACGCTTCATCCGAGCCAGCTCCTGGTGGCATTGCATCAGTGGCGTAGAGGCGCAGAAGAGGAGCAGGCAGCTGCCGCCAGGTTTCATCAGCAGCGCGATGTTCTTGAGCGCCTTCTCTTGATTCCTCACCCAGTTTAGACAGAAGAAAGAGAAGACACTGTCAAACTGACCATGCCGCTTCACAAAATCGGACACGTCATCTGCAACAACGTCGAGGACGTCGTATGTAATCTTGGGATGGGCGAAGTGGCTCCTCGCGTACTCCACCATGTCCCTGGAGACGTCGACGGCGACAATCCTTCGGCACGGAAGACAGCGGGGAAGTAGGCCCTCGCGTGTAAAGTCTCCCGCGCCACAGCCCAGATCGAGGTATCGCTGTTCTCCTCCTTCGTTCCGACCGAACGACTTCTGAAAGCTTTCAAGCGTCACGACATTTGCACTCCATTGCTTCCGGTCATATGCCACGTAGAGCTCCGGCTTGGGTGTAGTCAGAAAGTCCTCGTTGTTCACGTGCATTGTGCTCAAGTTGTAAACGGTGTGACTTCTCAGAGGTGCAAGGCGCAAGGACGATGCCCGAAACGCGTCTTCGAGGGGTGTGGTCAGCGTACTATATCGCCCACGCATCTAAAGCAGACTCCGAGACAAAGTGGCAAGAGATGACGCCCCGGAAGCTGACGTGTCAAGCTGACGGATGTCGTAATCCTGGCGGTTGGTGCTACAAGTCCCTGCAGAAATACGAGCGAAACGCGAACGTGGCTGTCGTCGTGGCGTCCTAACTCCTGGCTGCCAAAGCGTCCGTCGACTGTGAAGCTGGAGAACAACCTGCGACAGAACAGATGTCTGCCACATCGACCACCGCAGCTGTGCATCCAACAGGATGGCGGCCGCCGACAGCATGACTCTTCTCTGTCGTCGTAGGGCTGAAAATGGAGGGACCACTTAGTAGGACGTGGTAAAAACACCAGTCGAGGACCTGTTCCAGGCACCGTAGTATAACATTTCAATCCGAGTCAGTGAAACTATGTAAATGTAAGCCCACTGTACAGAGCAACTTTTGCGGGATTAATAAGGCTAAAGAGCAAGCAAGAGTTGCCTCCGATTTTTACATATCTGTGCGCAACTCAGTCTGTTCAAATGTTTTTTTTTTGTTTTTTTTTTAAGCGCACCGGCTGTTTTTGTTTGAAAGTCTCATTTGAAATAGAGCACGCGTGTCGGGGTGGGTATCTTGATTTGCCTCAGCAAGTTAAATATATTACAACCCCATTTCCACAACGAACTAAACGACTATCTAAATTTTGTAGAAAAGTTTTCTCCGCAACAATTCTGAAGTGAAGCAAGGTGAAATGCTATTCTTAGTTTGCTTGACTTTTGTACCCAGTTCTGTCGGTTGTTATAAATAGGTTAAAAACAAAAACATTCATATAAATGTTTTCATGTAAATGTACGACGGATGGCCTCTATTTTTTCCTTAAACTAAACTGCTTTGTCGCATTTCGTGCCAGGAATAAATCATGCCAAAAATCGCACCTTTGACGATGCGGTGACATATTTGGAGCCTTGTATCTTTGGATTTATCATACATTTTGCTGTTTAAATACTAAACGCAGATAGGCCTATACATGTCCTATAAACTGGTGCTATTTTAGTTACATTTATTCTCATCAAATAATTTATAATATTTTTTTATTCAAAACGAAGTAATTTAGACAGAATTTGAATCCAAAAAGAAGCCATTTGTTCACTTATTTTTCATTGTTACCCATAAGGTTAACATTTTGTGGGCATAATGAAATTTTCTACTTTCTTTGTTGCATTTTCTGTAGAAGTGCTTAAACTAACATACAGGCACCTGAATCGGAAAAGGGTAGTTTGGCAGGTTTGCTTCATTGCATAGTGTTTTACCTTTAACATACTGAGTGCTGGGGGTCAGAAGTGTTTGGGAGGTGAAGGGGCGACGGAGTCACTGAGCTAAAGCATATATTTATTTTTATCAAAGAATCGCCTGCCCTGACCTAGTTATCCTGAGTCAAGAGAGGCGGGCGTGAGTAGGTGGTTACATCGATACTACATGAGGTGATGGGTACTAGACCTTATGTAATCCAGCAGTAAAAAAAGGACGGCTTCCTTGTGTTCAGATGAGCCTTTGTGTTGGGCCCACTTGTCTAGCGTCCTAAGTCTGCCATCTTTTTAGAAATGGTGGTGGAGAGGGGGAGGGAAGAGGGTTATGTGGACGTGTCCACATTAGAAAAAATTGTGCCCCCCACTACTCCGCCGTGCTGACGTTGCTGCTAAGGCTTTTTTGTATCATTATTATTATTATTAGTTCAGTGCATGTCGTGTATGATTATATGCAGTTACTATATAGTGCATTGCTCTTCTGTGTTTGTTTGTTTTATGTATTCATTTCCATCCAGTCTGCCCGTGCCAAGACCACAAGGTTGTTCCTGGGCACTTTAATAAACATTGATTGGTTGATTGAATTATCATAAACATTATCGACACTCTTCATTTCATCTGTGTGTAGCTGCTGCGGACTTCGATAAACTATCAGACCCTGCTCTCCTGCCGAAGTCATGCTCTTCAAGCCCTTCAGAGGTAATCTTCGAGATAATTTACTCCACGTGTCTGTGAAAGTGGCCAAGGCCATTGCAAAAAACATTAATGAGTAAGAAAACGTTCGTGGTCTTCGGACAAAGGCCGCCTATCTTTTTTCTCGCGTTACCGTATCTAACTACACTATCATTTGTTGGACGGAGACATGGTTGTGTCCCGTCATTAGCTCTCAAGGTTACTTTCCGCCCTATTTTGAAGTTTTTCGTCTCGATCGTAACTTTTCTCCATGAGCTAGCACAGGAGGCGGTGTGATGATTGCGACTGACAGGCTGTGCAACCCCCCAAAAAACGTGAGGATTTAGAGGGGTCCTCTTCGTGTGTAGAGGTTGAAATCGAGTGCACATTGTGAGAGCGTGTAATATTTGGTTTATTTTATCTCCCTCCTCGAACAACACCTCATGATTTCAACAGGTGTCTTGTTGACAATGAGAATACGGTGAATGAGTTACACGGGTGCAATATCTTGGTAATGGAGACTTTAACGCTCCGGGTAATAACTGGACAAATTTAAATGTTCACACTGACAAATGTTTTCGCAAGCAAAAATGCAGCCACCTACTGAACTTTACTTCGTTTTTAGATCTTAGCAAAATTGCATTCTTAACGACCACGAAAAATCCTTATATCTATGTTTTTCTAATTCAGATCGCGTGAATCCCAATAGTTCCCTAAAGATATATATCAACCTGCAAATGAGGTAGTGTTCTCCTGTATTTCATCAGTTGGCGCCATTCCTTCTGAAAGAAGCCTTCTTCCCACCTCGTATAATTTCTCGGCAGGGGACTACATTGGGATGTACAATTGTTTTATGGATGTCAACTTCATCTGTTCTGGAGCCCCTCCATGTAAATGAGAAAGTCGCTCGCCTCACGAGAATTGTTCTGGGGGCTGTGGACATATATACATTCCGTTAAAAACATAAAATAATTCTCGTTTTCCTAACTGGTTTTCCTCAGAACTAAAAACGTTCTTTACCAGAAAGGCCTTCTTGCACAGGAAATTTAGGAAAAAACGGTCTACCAAAGTGGGATGCTGAATTCAAGACCCGTAGAAAGCAATGCACGCATTTAATTAACCGTGATCGAAAACTTCACCGCAAGTCTGTGGAGTTAAACCTTGTGAAAGATTTAAAGAAATACCGGAAGTACGCTTGATCTCTCCTTGGGAAGAACGTAAGGCCGGAAATAACTCTAGATTTTCATGAAGGCGATGCGGGGAGTGTACCTGAGTTGTTTGCAGCTCAATGTAGTTGTCTATAAAAACGGCTTCGAACGCGCGTCACCTACGTTGCCTCACTTGACTGAGTTCGGCGACTTACACAGTAGCATTCATGTCGATGACTAATTTATTAGGCTATGTATTACATTATACATCATACGTCATATATGAATTCTTATCTTTTAAGTTTTGTAACATAGCCATCTCTAACCAACACGGCCTTATGTCTGGCAGGTCAACTGCTACAAATCTCGCGACTTTTAGGTACACCCCTTTTCAGGTCGTTTGCAATGAAGGTCAGCTGGATGTTATCTACTTTGACTTGAGCAAGGCCTTCAACGTTGCTAATCACACTATTCTCATAGCAAAGCGTTCTGCTTATGGAGTGTGCGGCTCAGTTCTTGACTGGATTAAAACTATCTGACAAATAGAATCGCAAACACCCGGGTTAACAATATAGCCTTTTCATTCTACAGTGCTCCCTCTGGCGTTTCTCGAGGATCTGTTTTAGGTCCCCTCCTGTTCTCTATTTTTGTAAACGATGTTTCGTCCGTTTTTGTTTTCCCCTAAGTCTTCATTTCTGAAGTATGCAGAGATATAAGACTACACAGACACATAGTTAGCATTAATGATTGCATTAGGCTTCAAGAGGACGCATGTTTACTCTACAATGAATGCTCGGTTAATTATCTTTGTCTTAACAGATCGAAAACCAAAGTTATGCCATTTTCACAGGAGACATTGAATGCCATTTACTCTTATAGCATCTGCAGTGAATTGTCCCCGGGTGTGTCTAAAATAAATTACCTGGGGGTTATGTTTGATTCGACTTTGAGGTTTGATGATCACATAACAACAGTTGTAAACTCATTTCTCCGCACGTTAGGCGCCACATTTCGTATAACAAAGGAATTTAAAAATTAGTTTACGTTTCTTACATTGTACCGCTCGTTAGTAAGACTGCCACTTCTGTACGCCTCATGTTGTGTGGAACTGAATTTCCAAAAACTAACTCCTTGGCATTTGACAGAGTTCAAAATAAGTTTTTTTACATTTTTAAATATTGCTAAGCTAAGAGTGCTGTACACAACTTCCAATATGAAACCGATTCTGAACTCTTCGAACTTGCTGAGCCTGCATCAGCGTCGGGCTAATGCTTATTTGTTGTTTTTAATTAAGATTCTTCACGGTTTTATTAACTCTCCCAACCTCTTGATAGGAGCGAACATTAGAGTTTTATGTGTGCTACTTGGCATCAATTATCGTTTTATACCTCTAGGCATTTTAATCGATTAAGCCTTATTCTTAAATCGGCGGAGTGCTACAACGTATACTCTGATGCTATCGATATTTTCAGTTCATGCTGCATAACTTTTGATCTCTCCTTTTGCAAGCAGTTAATGTTTGAAAATGGTTGATAAGTAGTCATGTGTCGCTACGATATCATGTTATTTGCCTTTGTTTAAAATTTGCAAGCTTTGGTGTAGCTTTTACGTTGTTGTTCTGCTCGTTCTTACTGCTTGAACTGTCTTCAAATTTGTGACTGCTCTAGTGTCAGACCGGTGGACTGCGTTCCACCATTACCCTGGTGTTTCCGTTTTATTAATTAAGTTATTCTTGGATACTCAAGTGAACACTAATTGATTGATTTATTATTAATTATTATTATTATTTAAGTCAGGACA